GTGTGCATGAAAGATGGAATACATAATAGTGGCAGTTTTGCAAGCTCACTTTATTCAACAGTGAACCTATTGTAAGAACAATTTAAAGTATCTCTAATCCATTTCCAAAATTAATGCCTGTCAAACTATAACTGCTTAGACAATTAATTTTAAGTTATATTTTTCCATTAATCAGATGTAAGACAATTAACATGGTTTATGCTTGCCTAATCACACCTTTCAATATTTAAGTGTTCGTATTATCTTCCATTTGATATAAGTTATAGAATTGAGAATTTAAGGAGAGTATCTACATTTTCTTCGTTCTTCTTGTAGGAAGGGAACAGTAATGTAAAACTAGATGTTTCAAATTTCTCCGGAATCTAACGTAGCTCATTGTCTTCCTAAAACAATAGAAGCAATTGAAATTTATTAAAGAACGAATTAAAAAGGTAGAAGATAATAAAAAACCGAGATGTAGAAAAAATTACTAATAATGTAACAATAATGAAATTACAAGAATAAGAATCAAAACCAAAAGAGTGAAGCACCTTGATAGAACCTGACCTGCAAATCAACCAGTAATACCAACAATCTATCCAACAATTCACAACCAACAATCACAATCAGTAAAGAAATACCTTGTTGTATTAATATCCAAACAAAACATTACATCCAGTGAAGATACACCCAGAAGCCATGTCCTATCAACAACTCAATTCTGTCCGTGACCACAAAGGGACTGTAAAATCGCGAGCTAAGTTTCTCATTATATCGATGGGCTAAAGATCGTAATCTGTATAGTTGTAACTTCAAATACACAGATTCCCCTATCTCAAATGTAACCTCTCGGCGACAGCAATTAGCATAAGTCTTCATGCGGTTTTGAGCCTTGAGAAGATTTGCCTTTAACTCCTCAATAATCTGGTTGCGTTGCTAAAGTTGCCGGTCAACTTCTTCAACTGGAGAAGTGTGGTCCGCATAGCGTAACACCGTTGGAGGTTCACAGCCATAGAGAGCCTTAAAGGGACACATCCCCGTGGAGCTATGATAAGTGGTGTTGAACCAAAATTCTGCCCATGGAACCCATTTTGGCCACTGTTGTGGTTGGCTATTAACAAAGCATCGGAGGTATGCCTCCAACCAACGGTTTACCACCTCCGTTTGACCATCCGTCTGCGGATGGTAGGCTGACTCATGTGCAAATGGGTCCCTAACTGTTTAAATAATTCGGCCCAAAAATTGCTCATGAAAACCCTATCTCGATCTGAAACAATGGTATGGGGAAACCTATGCAACCGGACTACCTCTTTGATAAACAGATCAGCGACCACTTTGGCTGTGTACGGGTGTTTAAGAGTGACAAATGGCTATATTTTGTCAAACGATCAACCCCAACCAGAATAGTATCAACCCCATTCGCTTTGGGCAGCCCCATAATAAAGTCCATAGAGACATCATCCCACACTTGGTTAGGAATAGGCAATGGTTGAAGCAGACCCGCTGGACTTAATGCGTCATATTTATTTTGTTGATAGATGCGGCAAGCGACTACAAATTCTTTGATATCTTTCTTCATTCCCTCCCAAAACACCACATTCGTGATTCACTTATATGTTTGAAAGAACCCATAATGGCCCCCAATAGGTGAAGTATGAAACTCCTGTAATATTTTCTGGATGTGAGGCTCTGATTTAGGTAGCACTAACATGTTATGGTACAGTAGATGGCGTCCCACCAATCTGAAATGAGAGTGGATGTTCGGGTCAATCAGTAGCTGTTGTATAATCCCACGTAACTTGTCATCTTGCTGAATGGCATCTTCTAAACTGTCTAGTCCCGAAAAACAACCCATAGAAATAGCATGATGTTCAACAGTGTCAGACATCCTAGAAAGAGCGTCTACTGCCTTATTTTGTGGTCCCGGTTTATATTGAATGATGAAATCTAATCCCAATAGCTTGATAACCCACTTTTGTTGATTCTCACTTAACAATTTCTGGTCTGTTAAGAAATGGAGACTCCGCTGATCTGTCCGAATAACAAAGCGTCTTCCCAAAAGATAATGTCGCCATTTTTGCACAGCCAAAACTATAGCCATTAATTCCCGCTCATAGACTGATTTCAGTTTGGAATTGATAGACAAACCTTTGCTGAGGAAGGCAATAGGTCGCCCTTCTTGCATCAACACAACCCCTAACCCACTTCCCGAAGCATCAGTCTCTATAATAAATTCTTGAGTGAAATTTGGCATCCGTAAGACTGAGACACTGGTCATTATTCTTTTTAACTCTTCGAAAGCTCGTTGAGCTGCTGTATTCCACACAAAAGAGTCTTTCTTTAGTAGGGCAATGAGTGGAAGAGCTATCTTACCATAATCGCGAACAAAACGGCGATAGTACCCTGTTAGCCCAAGAAACCCTCTGAGTGCCCTGATGTCTTTTGGTTCTGGCCATTTAGTGATGCTGTCTATCTTGGAGGGGGTCAGCTGCCACACCTTTAGCTGAAACCACATGCCCCAAATATTCTAACTAGGGTTGCCCGAATTAACACTTCTTCTTATTTACCACCAACTGATTCTCTAATAATACCTGCAAAATAATGCTTAAATGCTTCGCATGTGCGTCTATCTCCCTACTAGAAATCAGTATATCGTCGAAGAATACTAGCAAAAATTTACTTAAATAAGGCCTGAAGACATCATTCATTACTGCTTGAAAATTTGTCGATGCATTGGTAAGGCTGAAAGGCATTACTAGAAATTCATAGTGCCCTTCGTGTGTCCGAAAAGCAGTCTTGTGCTTGTCTTCTGGTTTCACTTTGATTTGATGATATCCTGATTTCAAATCGAGTTTAGAAAACACTGTTGCTCTTTCTAACTCATCAAACAATTCATCGATAGTTGGAATTGAAAATTTATCCGAAACTGTCACCTTGTTAACTGCCCGATAATCCACACAGAATCTCTACCCTCCATCCTTCTTTTTCACCAATAAAATGAGGCTTGAGAACGGGTTGATGCTCGGTTTTATGATTCCCAAAGCCAACATTTCCTTGACCATGCATTCTATTTCATTTTTCTGATAGTAAGGGTACTTGTATAGCCTAAGGTTTGGCGGCTGTGTTCTTGGAACTAACTGAATGGCATGATCTCTTGACCTGGCAAGTGGTAACCCGAGAAATGGATCGAAGACTCGGCTAAATTTCACCAATACCTCCAGCAGTCTGTCGTCGATGTTCCCATTTTTTTCACATTGTGTCTGAATTTGCCCGAACTCTATCAAACACCCCTGCCCTTCACACTGCAATGCCTTAATCATCACCTTGAGGGATACCATGGTTTTGTTAAAAGATGGATCCCCATATAAACAAACTGTCTAGTCTCCCAGCTTGAACCTCATGGTTTGCTTTCTCCAATCCGTAATAGTCTCGCCTAAAGAGTCAAGCCATGCAATACCCAAAACTACGTCAGCATTGCTTATGTCAAATGGGAAAAAATTTTGAATAATCGTCAACCCTTGTAACTCCATACACACATCCCTACATTCTCCTTCACACCTCACACTATACCCATCACCTACTCTGACCCCGAAGGACTAAGTCCTTACCACTGATATTCCCAACCGTTCAACCACCTTTGAACTAATAAAATTTTGGGAAGCCCCACTATCAATCAACACAATCAATTCCTTACCTTGGATTCTTCCCTTGAGCTTCATTGTCTTCGGACCATGAATCCCCACCACTGAACTAAGAGAAAGCTCAACATTTTCCTGTTGTAGCTCTGTTCCTATTTCGACAGTTTCTCCACCCCCAATCAGATCTGGGTCATCTTTTTCTTCATCAATCATGATGATTTGGAATTGTTTCTCACCACATTTATGCCCAATTGAACACTTACCGTCGCACCTAAAACAAATTCCCTTCTCTCTTTTCCTTTGGATTTCTGCATCTGTCATTCGACGGAAAGGGAACTCTCGCCGTTGGAAATTCTGTAGTTCGAATGGCCGAAAAGATGTCGCCGGTGGGTCAAAAGTGGCGAAGTTGGTCGACGAGCCATGTATGGAAGACTCCGGTGGTCGTCGACTAAAATGGGAAGTGGAATTAGATCTTAGGGATTCAACTGAATTGGAAAATTTTAGGTTATTTTCAAATCGGGTCGGGTTGGGATTGTCGAATCGGGTCACACTCTTGGATCCATGGCTGCTGGACCCATATGAAAACCCAGTGAAGCCTTGTTTGCTCCCACTTGGGCTTCTTCTAAAGCCTGGTTTCTCTCTTCTATTATCTAGGCTAACTCAATTATTTGGGTTAAAGAATTTGGTTGGGCCAGACGAACTTCAGCCCTAATCTCTACTTTCAGCCCATCCACAAAGGCAGCCTGCAGTATTTCTTCCTTCTCCCCTACCAAAAGTGTTGCTACTGCTTCAAACTGACGATGAAACTCCACCACTGAACCAGTTTGTTTCATTGCCATTAAAGATTCATATAGGTTGAGCTCTTGTGATCCACTAAATCGCTGAAGTAGTGCCAACTTAAACATAGCCCACAAGCTTGTCAGCGTTCTGGATTCAGTCCACTAGAACCAATTTATAGCTTCACCTTCCATACAGACAACTGTCGCTGTCAACTTTCCTCCCTCCGATATTCCATTGAGACTAAAGTAACGCTCTACTCTAAAGATCCATCCGTAAGGATCTTCACCGGAAAATATTGGCATCTCCAATTTTCGTCCCCCCATTTCACTGCAACTTTGGCTACTGTTCCCAGACCCACTGGCTCCATTTTGGTTTTCTTCTTGGTGAGATTAGGCATTTTCTGCGGAGTGCATCTCTACTCTACCAGCCTCTTCCTCATTCTTTCGTCGCACCCAGGACTGTAACTCAACCAAACATTCTCGGATAGTACCCATTTCCACTCCCAACTTTGTAACCTCTCTCTCTATATTATCCATTCTAGAATCCATCATTGTCAAGACCATTACCTAGACCACGGTGCTCTGATACCAATTGATTGAACCTGACCTACAAATCAACTAGTAATACCAACAATCTATCCAACAATTCACAACCAATAATCACAATCAGTAAAGAAATACCCTGTTGTATTAATATCCAAACAGAACATTACATCCAGTGAAGATACACCCAGAAGCCATGTCCTATCAACAACTCAATATACAAATAACACTAAAATGAATAAAAAGTACACTAAGAAAATGATAAACGAAAGATTGACTTCGAGGGTCAGCCACCTCCCTTCCAACCTTAACTTTTCTATTCTGAATATCCCTCTTTCTCTCCCCTCTCTCTTTTTATTCTCTCCTGACACCTTTTTGCTCCTAACTGAATTCCTCCTACATCCAATCATATCAGGCCATCTGTCCTCCCCTAACAAATCCTAACCTCCTACATAACAAATTTCAGCAAATATTCCTCTACTTCTTACCACTACCCTTCCTACAGTAGACCAGCCCTTTTAGTTGCTCATCACACCTTTGGAAATACAAAAATTGCAATACGTTTCTTGTTAAGACTAATATCCCATCAAATAGTGACATTGTCCTTGCTTTGGGATTCTTTCATCATCTATATCAAAATTTAGACAATCAGATTTTTGCACAGTATATTATAACAAAGAGCTCATATGAATAAAAACTCCGAAAAAACTTATCAAATCAGAAATAATCGCCATAAATCATGATGCATATAGTCAGCTTCAAGCTTGATAAGTGGTGCAAATACATTTTGATACTGCAAGAGAAAGCGATTCAAGGTTAATAGCCATGAGACTAATTGCAATTTCTTCCAATATTTTCATTTGATACACCAAACCAAAATTTTAAATTATTTATCAACAGAGAAACCTGATATGGATCTTCATACTTCAAGGCCACAGGTTGAGGTTCATCATCCACACCAGGCTTCTCAAGATCTTCAACGGTAGCATCAGGATTTGTCTTCCAAAGTTCTTCTACCTTGTTAATTTGTCGAGCACTAATCTGATGTGCCCTCAACTGCTCCTGCTCAGATGGGATCTGTGAAGAGCAAACATGTTAGCAAGTCTAAGAATGAAGGACTAAAATCAATAACAAAAAGAAAAATACCTACCTTAATAAGCCCTTGCAAGAAACACCTACCATCAATCAAGGGGCACCACTGACTCAGATCCCAATTCATGTCCTTCAATGCATTTACATTCAAGCAATGTTCCCTACAGAGAAGACCAATAACACTTTCCGTCTTAGCTGATATAAATCCAAGAAGGAATACATTTCGGCATCCACAATTGTAGCATTCAGGGATAGTCTCTTCCAAAGGATTGTCCTTATGAAGGCAGACTTCCTTGTGTTTTGCTCGAACCTACAAGAGAACCCACGAAAATCAATATGGGCCACCAAAATCCTGATCTCTCAGCTATATGATTAATGTATAATCCCAAAAAAAAAAAATGATTGATGTACCCATCCACAAAAAATCATCAACGTATTAAAGTGCCAACTGTGGTTCAAGGGGAATTCAATCTTACATTCTCCAAAACAATAGGGTTATCATATAAGGGTTCTAATAAAATTACATACAAAACATATGAGACCTAAGGAATTGAAGCAGCCCCCAACAAATACGAGAAAAGCCATAAAAGAAAGTCCAAGTCTAAAATGATTCGAAGATAAAAGCAATCCCAGATGCTCTAGGAAACATATACACAGAAAGTTCATGAACCAGAGAACCATGTAGACGATTAGCAGAACATGTCACATAGCTTCACTAAATTAAGCCAATGAAACCACAAACCATATCCACTTTCAATCAAAGATACCTAGCATTTAAGTGAATTGCTCTACCCAAACAATCAAAAAACATTTCATTAAATCTTAAAAGTTTATTGACGCCCTGAAACAAGTCGAGCATTAGCAGAATACACAAACATATCACAAAAAAAAAAAAAAAAAGTACACAAAAGCAATTATAAACACTGCAGAACACCGAGCCTTCATCCAGAAACAAACTAGTAAAAACCCACTGGACCCACATCAGAAAATGAGCGAATGAAGACATAAATTAAAGTTGGCTAAGCAAATAAGCAAGAAGAAAGATCATAAACACGGAGATATTTTTCACATAGCATTCTTTAGCAAGTATATCATCGAAGTAATGGTGTAGAGCCTCCAATGCCTCCGATTACAACATTGGAAAGAATACTAAAAGGAGAAAGAAGGTTTAAGTCTTACAGAGTATCTCAATTGACTAATTCACCTGCTAAAAAATGAGAGGAGGATAGGAATCCATGGGAATCAACAAAATTGAATTGATTCAATGGGGGAGAATAGGATTTGTTTGGGTTTTGGTTTGGAAAAGAAGAAAAGAGCCGTTGGAGTTACCATTGAGGTGTGCAGGAGAAGTTGCTCTTATATAACGGAGGAAGTGAACTTTGGGTTGTCAAATTCAACAAATCCAACGGTTATTTTTGCATGTGACTTTTTAAGTGGAGATATTCAACTCTTGGATTAGCTTATTTAACATTACCAATTTTCAATTAGTTTATTCAACATCAAACTATATGATTTAACGTGGTTTAGTATTTTATAAATTCAAGATATTGAATATGATAAACATCAAATACTTGATATTTTTCATTAAAAGAAATGAAATCAATTAATATGATTTTATGGTTATTTTTGTATTTATTTGCCTTTTAAAATAATGAGCCTTATATATATATAGCATCACATTTTTAACAGTTTAATTAGATGTTCAATTGTCCACCCCAAAGGTTTGATATTATTTCAGGATTTATCGTTTATGAATCTCACTAGAATTACATAATCAAATATAGCAACAAGTTTCATCATAGCCCAACCCAATTATTGATATGTGGGCGCCGGTGACCTCAATTCTCTTTTTTTCGTTATTAGGGTGTTTTTTTTTTTTTTTTGTTTTTTTTTTTTTGCGCTTTGCCCATCTTGTATTTGTATTAACGTTTCTGTGTTCGACTCAACTTATTTATTTTTCTCCTATTTTATATTATATTATTTTTAAATTTGCCCATCTAAAGGTAATTCCAAGGTCCAACCCTATATCATATAACAAGTTTTGAACCAGGCTCTTTAGCAGACAAAAAAGATAACTGAGCAAATAAAATTATAAAAGGCCAATTATAAAGAGAAAATATAGGAAGAAATAAGAATTAAAGATACAATCTTTGTTAGTCAAATTTATGTATTTTCTGAGACTCTCATGTGCATAAAGTCTTCAATTATTGCAATGTCGCCTACACATAAAAATCATAATACTTACAGTACCGAGTTAATAATTCACTTGACACTTAATTTCACAAACCCTTGTTCAATATTATCTCCAATGATTTAACAAACAAACTTACATACGGACCGTGATTACAACATTACTCTCCCGAAGCAAATTCTTTCTGACCACAAGAGTATTAAGTATATAGAAGACTCGCAAACAAAGAACTGCAAAGAGAATTCACAGGGAGTGACTGAGGCATACTTGATTGCCTGGAATATATGCATCCTTCTCTTTCCAGCAAGAGGTAAATCAATCGCAAACCGCAAGAATTAATTATTTTGTTTCTTTTTATTTTATTTTTTTAATGAACTGGATACAAAATTTGGATGTGCTATTTTTAATGGGATGGTCAAAAATAGAGAAAGAGTTTTGCTGAGCACTGATCTGACGTGCCCTCAACTGCTCCTGCTCAGATGGGATCTGTGAAGAGCAAACATGTTAGCAAGTCTTAAGAATAAAGGACTAAAATCAATAACAAAAAGAAAAATACCAACCTTAACAAGCCATTGCAAGAAACACCTATCATCAATCAAGGGGCACCACTGACCCAGATTCCAATTCATGTCCTTCAGTGCATTTACATTCAAGCAAGGTTCCTACAGAGAAGAACAATAACACTTTACCTCTTAGCTGATATAAATCCAAGAAGGAATACATTTTGGTATCCACAGTTGTAGCATTCAAGGATAGTCTCTTCCAAAGGACTGTCCTTATGAAGGCAGACTTCCTTGTGTTTTGCTCGAACCTACAAGAGAACCCACCAAAATCAATAGGGGCCACCAAAATCCTGATCTCTCAGCTATATCACAAATCCAATTAGCATACTTGATTGCACCCAGTTGAGCACACGCTGAAATAACACCAACCAAAGTAACTTCATCTGTTTCAACACCAGTATTTTGCGTGCTCTCAAAATGTTCGGAGGCCTAAATCCTGATCTCTCAGCTATATCATTAATGTATAATCCCAAAATAAAAAAAAATAAAAAAATGATTGATGTACCCGTCCACAAAAAATCATCAACGTATTAAAGTGCCAACTGTGGTTCAAGGGGAATTCAATCTTACATTCTCCAAAACAATAGGGTTATCATATAAGGGTTCTAATAAAATTACATACAAAACATATGAGATCTAAGGAATTGAAGCAGCCCCCAACAAATACGAGAAAAGCCACAAAAGAAAGTCCAAGTCTAAAATGATTCGAAGATAAAAGCAATCCCAGATGCTCTAGGAAACATATACACAGAAAGTTCATGAACCAGAGAACCATGTTGACGATTAGCAGAACATGTCACATAGCTTCACTAAATTAAGCCAGTGAAACCACAAACCATATCCACTTTCAATCAAAGATACCAAGCATTTATGTGAATTGCTCTACCCAAACAATCAAAAAACATTTCATTAAATCTTAAAAGTTTATTGACACCCTGAAACAAGTCGAGCATTAGCAGAATACACAAACATATCACCAAAAAAAAAATTTACACAAAAGCAACTATAAACACTGCAGAACACCCAGCCGTCATCCAGCAACAAACTAGTAAAAACCCACTGGACCCACATCAGAAAATGAGCTAATGAAGACATAAATTGAAGCTGGCTAAGCAAATAAGCAGGAAGAAGATCATAAACATGGAAATATTTTTCACATAGCATTCTTTTAGCAAGTATATCATCAAAGTAATGGTGTAGAGCCTCCAATGCCTCAAATTACACCTTGGAAAAATACTAAAAGGAGAAATAAGGTTTAAGTCTTACAGAGTATCCCTATTGACCAACTAAGATGTTGTGCACTAGAGACCTGGGAACAGACAAAGCCAGAAAAAAGGTCACAAAGATGGTGATATTCATCATATGAATATCATTTCTCCATACTAGCAAATAGCTGCCGGCCTTGTTCTACCAATCCCACATGGCTACAGGCTGTAAGCACTCCTATAAATGTAACCAGTGGCCATCGCAGTCCAGGCCACCATATCCTTTAAAGGCAACCCATCAAACAATACACTAGCAGATTTCATATCTCCGCTCTTGGTATATGCAACAATCAACTCAGTCCAAGAAATCACGTCTTTCTCAGGCATTTCATCCAACACCTTACACCCACAATCTAAAAACCTGCATTAACATACATATCAATCAAGGTATTACCGACATATAGATGAGACACAAAACCCCCGACCAAAATCGTCTGAGCATGCAACTGCCTACCCAAATTCACATCAATAATCTCACGAATGAGAGCAGGGGTTTCTATATTTCACCGATTCAAATTGGGAGAGAATAGGGTTCGTTTGGGTTTTGGTTTGGAGAAGAAGAAAAGAGCCGTTGGAGTGACTATTGAGGTTTGCAGGAGAGTTACTCTTATATGGGAGGAAGTGAAGTTTGAGTTATCAAATTCAAAGGCTAATTTTTTAAGCGGAGGAAATTCTCATGAATCTAACGCTTAATGTTGTAAATAACAATAATAATTTGGTGGACCAATGTTACAGTTACTGAAAAATGTGTATCGAAAGATCGTAATATCATCATATTTTCTTAAAAAAAGAAATTTATAATTAATCGATGATTAAATAATATTATATCATTCGATATATGAATTTAGTATACATTTTTCGATAATTATATTATTTTCTAATTTGATAACACCACTATAGCACGACATGAACATGAACACCCCAAATCGGACTGAGCTAGGTTGAGCTTGAGATTTCAACCCATTGGACCTTGCCAAAGCACACCCCAAGTTGGCTTGTGTTTGGCACTGTCCATTCATGTGTCCTTTTTATTTTTTTTAATTTAATTTTATATTAAATTACGTTGTATTCATATTCTACCTTAATATTAAAATTATATTTATTTATAATTTTCTTATATACAGTACGTACTAATTTGAGTTTTATCTCACATCTTTAAATCACTTAATTACACATGAGCTTTTATGATTTATGAGAAAATTATTTAAATCAACCCTTTCTTAATTTGAAATAAGTTTGAAAACAGAGGAAACCACCCTTCTCAATGATCCTATCATAAGTTCTACATGCCGTTGGGAGGGGTATTGTCTGGAACCTTTCATTGTCTACTTCCATAGACACTTCATAATCACTAGCATCAAATTCAGGAATCCAATGCAATGCTCCTATATAGCTGAAACAGGTTTGTATCCAAACCAACCAAAGAGTCTGAAAGAAGGTCCATTCACCTCTCTCCAAAACCATGTCCCAAGATTTAAAATCTCACAACTGAATAATTAATATATCCCAAACTATCTCGAAATAAGTGCACTACTTTGTATTCATCAGTGACTTCACTGAGGGCAAATCCATAGGATTCATCATAGGGAGGACATAAGTTACCTACAGGAAGTGCAACCATCTTTCTTGTCACAGGATTCATCACCACGAGTCCTCCATTCTTCCCCCGGTTATCAAGCAACATTAGACCATTGCATGTAGCTCTAATGTTACCCAAACAACTTACTTTATACTCCTTTGACTTGCTCTTTCCATTTTTAAAGTCCATGAACTGGATACAAAATTTGGATGTGCTATTTTTAATGGGATGGGCAAAAATAGAGAAAGAGTTTTGCTGAAGTATCTGGGGAATGATTCTTTTAGAATAAGAGTCATATCACAGTATTAAGATCTTCTTCTAAGGCTCCCTTATCCTCTAAAAGGAAATAATGTCTCAATCTTTTCTATTTATTCGGTGTTTTGCACATTAAATATAATGAAGCATGAAAAATAAAAAAAGAATTGGTTTTATATTAAAAAAGTGCATGTTTTTTGAATATTTTCAACAAAGATGTACTAGATATTTAAAAAAATATATATTTTCTAATATTTTGCAAATCTGACTAGGTGAATAAGACAATTGTGTGAAATTTGCAACGGGGGCCGATCAAACACAACTCAAGATAGACTGCATATGAGCAGATTTTATAAATAGTTTAACAATAATGCTAGGGACACCGAAAATTTTACACCGAAAATGTATATCGGTCTACGTGTAACACGCATCTATTTTGTTTAACAATTTTTTTCTAGTGAACGGCCGTCCATCAAATTTGGACGACCGTTCACTCACATGGACGTCCGTCCATATTATATAGACGGGCGTCCATATACAAGGGACGGGCGTCCCCATTTAAAGGACACCCGTCCATAAATAAAATATGAAAATAAAAAAAAAACCTTTGTGGACGGCCGTCCATAAATTTTGGACGCCCGTCCATACTTAAAAAAAAAAGGTTTGGACGGGCGTCCATTCCATACTTTAAAAGAAAAAAAAAAAAATTCGTCTTCTTCCTCTTCAGATCCTATTGTGGTTTTCATTTCTTGTCTTTTGAAATCATATCAACACTTTTGCAAATTTAGAACTTGCTCCTATTATGTTGGGATTTCAGATCCTTGAAGGAAGATCGTATAAGCTACAGTATCCTTGGATTGGCGTAGTTAATCGCTCTCAAGCTGATATCAACAAAAGTGTTGATATGATTGCTGCTCGACGTAGAGAGCGGGAGTACTTTGCAAACAGCCCAGAATACAGGCATCTTAGTAACAGGATGGGTTCTAAGTATCTTGGAAAGGTGCTTTCTAAGGTATGAAATTTTGATGCAATTTATGTGGGTATGACTATTTTGTGGTTTCCTACGTTATAATGCTTGTGTTCTATGTGGTTAGTTTATATTGATGGAAGTGTCTGAAATTGAATGACAATATTTTGATTAGTACTTTTGCCAACAGAAAGTGGGAAAAACCAGTAGAAGATACTTACATTCCGGAACATTTCCTTTTGTTCTATTTTTCGCTTGTCAAATTTCAAAAGACAAGAAATGAAAACCACATTGGGATGTGTTCTTTTCACCTTAGTTTTACAACAAAATTTCTTGTACAACAAAATGCTCAGACGAAGAACTAACATGAGAACTTAGGAGCTGGGAAATGAAGAGGAAGAAGACGAATTTTTTTTTTTTTTTTTAAAGTATGGACGCCCGTCCCTTGTATATGGACGCCCGTCCCTTGTATATGGACGCCCGTCTATATAATATAGACGGACGTCCATGTGAGTGAACGGCCGTCCATCAAATCCAAATTTGATGGACGGCCGTTCACTAGAAAAAAATTGTTAAACAAAACAGATGCGTGTTACACGTAGGCCGGTACACATTTTCGGTGTAAAATTTTCGGTGTCCCTAGCATTATTGATAGTTTAATAGTCACATGCTAAAGTGAAGTTAAATAACGTAATAATATAATATAATAATTAAACAAATACTAGATCAACGTGATTAATTGTATATTAATACATCAACATGTATTCATCAAAGTCCACAAACATTACTTTGACAAACGAAACCAAACGATATGACCATCTCCAATCTCTCCTGTAATACAGAAACCTTTCTCGAACAAGCCACCGTTGATGGATGCGTTGACTACAAAGGCCGTCCAGTGTACAGAGCCAGCTCTGGTGGGTGGAGATCAGCGTACTTCATTATTGGTGTTGAAATGGCTGAGAGGTTCGCTTATTATGGAATTGGCTCCAACCTTATTACCTATTTGACTGGACCTCTGGGTCAGTCCACGGCAATTGCGGCAGAGAACGTCAACATCTGGTCAGGCACAGCGTCGTTGCTGCCTCTTTTAGGAGCTTTTGTTGCTGATTCTTTTCTTGGACGTTACCGGACTATTGTTATTGCTTCTGCTATATACATCTTGTGGTATCTTTGCCAGAGTTCTACTTATGGATT